GACCGTCAAAAACAGTCAGTAGTTGGCACCCCGGATTATTTGGCACCTGAGATACTTCTTGGCATGGGACATGGTTTGCAGTTTATCCGCTGATTAAATAGTACATCTTATGAAAATAAAAATAAAAATTTTAGTTAATAATTTAAGATATATATTTTATTTATTTTTTCTTTTAAAATCTTTTTGTTTGATTTAATTTCTTATACACCATATCTCTACTTGTAGGTGCAACTGCAGATTGGTGGTCCGTGGGTGTCATACTTTATGAGCTTCTTGTGGGTATTCCACCATTTAATGCCGAACATCCACAGGTAGGTTTTTGTGGTACGATTAATAAACATACAAATAGTTTCAACATCCATTTATTATTTTGTTATTCGTTAATAAAATTCTGTTGCGTGTGTTTTTGTTGACCAAGTCTTGTATATAGTTACGATAATATTATTAACAAAATATATGGATGACAGCATTCTCTTCTCTTCTCATTTTCTTTTGCTTTCCGATCATATTTTCCTTCTGTTTAATGCTCTTTATATATTATGTTTTTGTGGATTTTTAATTTCATTAAATATATTATTAAGATGTCCCAAATTTAGGGTTAGAATAGTTCTCCTCGTGTCAGCTAGTTTTTGAGAGTGACTTAAGCCCAAATTTCTTAATATGGTATCGAAGTCTATTCAATTTGAATACTAAACATTGTACATATATTTAGTCTTGCAAATTTCACGCACCAAATGTTCAGGGAGAGGTGTGTTAAAATGTCCCACATTAACATTGACTAAGGATAATCCTCCTCCTATGATCTAGTTTATGGGAGTGGGTTAAGCCCAAGTTTTTTTAATAATATCTCTATGGATTTGTTGAAATCTAAAGTGATCAATAAATTTTTATTATTTGGAAATATGGATGAATATCTGAACACTATTGTGTGAGTGTTTGTTTTGCAGCAAATATTTGATAACATAATTAACAGAGACATACAATGGCCCAAGATTCCTGAGGAGATAAGCTTTGAAGCATATGATTTGATGAATAAGTAAGCATCCTTATCGAAGTAGAGGTGCATTTTAATATTTGCCTCATCAAATACCTGCTCGAGGCATCAAAATCTTAGGGAAACTTGATATATAGAGCAAAAAGATTTTGAAAAGTTATTGGTACTTGCTGGTGCTACTGGTGTATGCTCTGAAAGATTATCAACATAGTAAACGGTGTGTAAATTAATTGTTTTTAAGAGTTTAGCACGTCCACTGTGAAAAAGTTAGTTTTTATGATCTTTTTCTTGGGTATGATGGAGAATTTAAGTGGCTTTCAAAATTTACATAATCTGTCAGGATGAGCAAGATCAATTTGAGCGAACATGCTAATATCAAATAGGATAAACAGTTTTTTCTTATGTTTTTCACTTTTGTGAAACCTCTAAATGATTTTATGTGAATTATGCAATTGGTTGGTAAAAGTTCCGCTTTTAACTTGAATATTAAGATTCCTGTCATGTTGGTTATGGCTGACAGTGTATTCTCTTTTAGATTATTGAACGATAATCCATTCCAAAGATTAGGTGCAACAGGAGCGACTGAAGTGAGTTATTTATTGCTTAGTACTTGCAAACTGTGGTATTTGACAAAAGGTAACAGTAAATATACTTTTTCTGGCAGGTTAAACGCCACCCTTTCTTCAAGGATATTAATTGGGATACCCTAGCAAGGCAGAAGGTTCATTTTAATTTTACTAGATCTTTGATATGTTTGTTCCATATCTTTTGATTTGTCACCTGGAATCTACCTCGATTTTCTGCAGGCTATGTTCATACCAATGGCTGAAGCTCTTGATACAAGTTATTTTATGAGCCGGTACATTTGGAATCCAGAGGATGAACAATGTGCTGGAGGTAGTGATTTTGATGACATTACTGAGACATGCAGCAGTGGTTCAGGCAGCGATTTATTAGATGAAGATGTAAGAATACTACCCATGCACTATAAACTACCTTAAGCTTTTTAGGTGTCATACTACTTACGTCCAGGGATTCCTTGATTTTTAAGTAGCTGACAGTTTCTGTTTAAACATAAAATATTAAAGTATGAATTTTCATTGCATTTAAACTACAAACCAATATTATGCCAAACCAAATAAAAGATTACATACAAAAGAATCAGTTAGCCTGTAAGCCACAAGTCTGTCCACATCACTTGCTATTTTTCCTTTTAAAATAAATTTCTAATTTGGCGAGAAACAATTTTGTCTGATTGTTTTTCTAACAGCCTTGTTTGACCATGATTTTTTTCTGACATATACTTGTGAAGCAGGGTGATGAATGTGGTAGTTTAGCGGACTTCAGCGGTCCAGCTCTTGAAGTGCAGTACTCTTTTAGTAATTTCTCTTTTAAGGTAATACCTGGCATGTCTGATCTTCTCTTTTGTCAATATAATTTGTCACAAATTCATCAACAACATTGCATTTTTTTTCGTATTAAATAGTTGATTAGTTGATTACTCTGCAATACACTTAACCGTTGTAATGTATGAATACATTATGATATGGCTGCCATTATATTTATGTTGTAAGTCAAAATTTATATTTTATCATTGATTTTTACATAACCAATCCACTTGTAAATACAGAGATTCCCCGGAAATGATAACATATTAATATCACACTATAATTTTACAATGTATTGTAGAATCAGTCCACTTTGTTATCCTAAATTGGTCCGCATATTATGTGAAGAAGAAAATGCCTCTTCTGTCCTTTTTCATTCCCCTGCCCTTCATAGTTACTATCCTCACTTTGTTACTGCTAGAAATATAAGGCTTTACCAGTGGATGCTGATTTTGATGGTTAGGAAAAGGAGGTTATTCCTCATTTGCTTTCTTGAATTCAAATTTGCCTGGGAGTAGGGGAAGTGAAAATGCTTATTAATTAGCCAGGTTAAGTATTGAAACTGGTCTAAGCAGGAGAGTGACAGACAATCTCTTTACAAAAATCATATATGTTTCATTCTTAATTTAATATTTTCTGTTTTTATTGCTAAAATAAATATTAATAATATATTAATTAAAAATTATTGAAAACTATAAAAGTATGCTGAGTTTTATTTTTTACTTTTAATTAATAGTTCTTTTTCATAATTTTTAACAAATTTTATTCAACAACCTAAAAAATATTAGAGGAAGTGCTTTAAAAGTACTTTTGGCGGCAAATACTACAATAATGATACCTTTGTCCATTTCCATGCGGACTAAAGAAAGTTCTTTTTTAATTTTTATTACAGAACCTGTCTCAACTAGCATCTATCAATTATGATCTGGTGATTAGGAACTCCAAGGAATCGCCCAATGACTCCAAACCATCTATTTCATGACATTGCTAGAGGGTTCTAAGCTTCTCCAAGCGATTATATATATAAATTCACCAAGGATAAGGCTCAAATAGGTGGATTTCCAGAAGAAAAAAGCAAAGGCATGTTTAATGCTGACACTACAGTCGTGTAACCACTGTATTCATATCGTTTTAGATGCAATGTGATATGGCCCGATAGTTCATTTTCCATTTTTTTTGTCGCCTTTTATTTTAAAATGCCAATTATCCATTCGTTCATTTATTCTAGGATGCGATAGATCGAGACTGTTAGTACTGTTTATCTTTACTCGCGTGCTTTTTGAAACTCTGGCTTTATTAATATTTTTAAAGAAAAAAAATGGAACAATTTTTACGTTTTACAAAAATTCAACAGAGACAGCTATTTCTTGCATAGCACAGTGCCTTTTATCCTTCACCTAAGCTGAGTCTTCATTGTAGAAAGTGCATCTTTTTATGTGTACGTTTTAGATAGATTTTGATTTCTTGTACGCACATAAATATTGTGGTGGGAAACTAGATGAAGGCTATTTTTTCATGTCTCCTCTAATATTGAAAGATTTGAAATTAAGGGAAAATATTTACATTTCTACAGTGTGATGACTGAATTATTTTACTAAGCAAATGTGGCAGAGACCAAAACTTTGGTGGGTTTTCATTTATTTACATTTAGGGTCAAACTTTGGTTGTTTTGAAAGTGTAGTATTTGCACTATATCCAAATCCATTTGTTGAAGAATGATTTTAACACTGGTCAACGGGTTAATTTCAAGAATTTCAGTCCAATTCAACAATGCTGTAGTTGTTCCACTAAAAATAATGAAGTTGTTTCCAAAATTTTTCGTTCTCTTTTTCTAGTACTATTATTTTCGTCTGCTTTATTTTTATTCTTTTCTGTTTCACCAACAACTGATAAAACCATGAGTTGGTTGACGATTGCAATTTGCAAGAGATTTTTCATCTACCGAGAAAGAAAGTCACTGAATCAGCTCTGCAGTTGGTTAAAAGTCAGTACAGTTGAGTTACTTAACAAGTTGTTAGTAAAAGTTAGTTGATAGCTAAGATACGGTTAGATAGCAGCCATATGAAGCTGTTGTATGTGCATGGCCTTGGCTGTGCCTGTTCCATAAATTGATGTTTTATCAGCTTCTTGTTCATTCAACCCAATCACAGTACTTCTCTTTTCTATAGAACTCCTTTGCTTTACTCTTAGTTCTATAATACGGGGTCACATCAAACAAAATGCCGAATATATTCATAGAATTATAAATAAGAGTATATTGGAGCACAGCCCGTCTTCGTAACTTCTAACAAAGGGAAAATTAGCCCTAAAAGGGGAATTAATCAATTTGGAAATCAATTTCTTTCTACCTACCGCCCGAGTGCGCACACTTGCGGTAGATTCACGAAGAAGCAGTTAATCAACCATGATAATCCCAACATTCTTTCCTGAAATAAGAATTTTACATGAAACAGAGCTGGTTTCTTTTCTTTTGGTTCATCCTCTTCTTCTCCCCAAAATAAATGTGTGGAGTTATTTTATTCATGGAAGAGGTCCAGTAGGCTGGCAATGTTTATATTTTTTTGCAATGATCAAAGAGTCATTTGTTGGTAAGTTGAAGGTGTAAGTAATTGTGTTAATACTAAAACCTATCAATTAGCTCTGCCAGCGAGGGAGCTGCTGTCACTGACATCTTCAACACAAAGCACGTCCTTCATGCACGACTTCTCTGCGACGGAGGTGGGTATACGATTATTTAAAATTTAAATATTAGGAAATGCGAAACAATTTTCATTTTATTTTTAATTATTTTTTTTTTAAATTGTAAGGAGCGAAGGTGGGTTTCCCATTATTCCCACGCCTCTCGGGCATGTGGCATATGGCATGTGGCAGTACACTGCACGCTTACAATGCACCGTTTGTTTTGTTTGACGTGAAATTGCAACTGAAATTGTTTCGAGAAAGCCAAAGCCCTCAGATAGAACGAAACAGAAATGTTGAGACGCGCAACCGCTACTTTGAAATCATCCCTTTTCACACGCTTCCTGGTAACATCTTCTTCTTTCTCCCTCTCTTTCTTTCAATCTTTCGATCTTCTCACATTCTCCATTCCAGGAACCTTCTAACGCTTCGCTTTATCAAAGATTTACCACCAGATTGGGATCCTCCTTCCACTTCCAGGTAGTATCAACACTTCTCCTTCTTATATACTCTCTCTAACTGCGTCTTAGATTATCATCTCTTCTAGGGTTCAAACTTTTATACTCTTCATGTTTATTGTTCCGTTCTGAGTCGGTGGATACACTTTTTATTTTGGTATCTTCGTTCACTCTCTGCTCTTTTGGTATTTGCAACGTATACAACCACGAGTTTGTCCATGTATTTCTAACTTTAAATTGGTGATTTGCGCTGAAAATCTTATGTATTCTTTGGGATCACTTCTTCTCTTTGTTCATTTCACTCATCTCAATTTACGAGTCTCAACGATTCATTCTTTATATAACCCGAGGTTACTGGCTTTGAATATTGTTGTCTCAACTATGGCACTTAATGATCTCCTTGTTTCTTCGTTCCCTTTGATGCAGGGAAAGGATGGAATTTGCCCTAAACATACAGCTCCGTTTATAACTTTTGTTTTAGGTAATGATCATGCTTTTGTTATATTGTTGCCAAAGACTCTGTAGGTCTTATGCCGTCAAAATTGTGAAAATATAATTGGTAAACACTAATTTTGTGAATGCCTCGAAGTGAAAGTGCGAGTTCCGTGCTGCTCTCTTCCTGCACATCTCGTGTTTCTATGTTCACAAGTAACGGTAAATATATGGATGGGTCATCTTCATATTTAACGTTGGAAGGTACACAGCTGAAATTGATAAGCCCCTCATTATATGATTATAAGGAATGACCGCAACCTGCCATAGGAGCTAAGCTTATGCTTGTTGATTGTGTAATTGAATTTTACTCTTGTGAAATGAAGGATATTAAAATGTTGGGTTTTGTCTAAGGATAAGAAACTAGTAATAGTAAAATTTTATTAGAAAGAGAAGTATTTATTATATTTTTATAACTTCAATACAATAACTGTATACTTTTTTTATAAAAAATTTCTATTTATGGATACTTAAACTCAGTCTTAAGGTTGAGGTTAACAAAACCTTCAAATGTTTAAACGAGGATAGTTAATGTTGGAGCTGAGACATCTGGGATGCTTAGATGTTTTTCAATTATTTCTCTCTATTATCCTGATAAGCTTATTAATGATATTAATGATGATTTAATAAACAGATAAAATGTATTTAGTGGAAAGAAGGTGCCTAAAGTTATTAATGATGCTATCCATGATTTTTATTTGATTTGCGTTGAATAAGTGAAAATTAAAATTGTTCTTGCGCTCTTAGGAGGCCCTGGTAGTGGAAAAGGTACACAATGTGAAAAAATTGTTGCAACCTATGGATTTAAGCATCTGAGTGCTGGAGATCTTTTGAGAAGGGAGATGGTTTCTGAGAGTGAATTTGGGTGATGTTGTCTTATCCTAATTATTTATTTATTTCTTCTGTGCATCTGTGAGATTTTAACAATAAAAACACCAAAACAGCTCAATGATTCTGAATACAATTAGAGAAGGAAGAATTGTTCCATCAGAAGTGACTGTCAAATTGATTCTAAGAGAGATGGAATCTAGTGACAATAATAAGTTTCTTATTGATGGTTTCCCTAGAAGCGAGGAGAACCGCATAGCTTTCGAACAAATTGTAAGTTTAACTTTGAACCTCTTTTTACTTAAATTTGAGTTGAAGGAAGTCATGTCCCCCCTCTCTGGGCCTTATTTCTTTGATGAATTAATATAGTATTAGTTTTTCTAATGTGAACCCAAAGACACACAATAAAAAATCAATAAATAGTAGACTTTTATAGGAAATTATAGCATTTAATCTATTAATTTTGTGATTTCTGATAAAAATTTACCATACATAGGTTCTTATTGTGAGTCTTTGGGCACACGTTAGAAAAAAACAATATAGTATTGAGTTATTTCTATGTTAGTACCTGTTTTTCTATGTATTTAATTTAATATGAATTTGCCACATATCCTCTGGATTGTACACCTTTGCAAATGACAATATCTATAGATGAACAAAGCAAATTGTCATGGCAGAAAACTGTTTTTGAGGGTATTAAAACAAATGAATAATTTCATGTAAATTCTTTCTTTCATTCTTCAGCTAAATAAATGCACTCTTCATTATGTAGATTGAAGCAGAACCAAATATGGTACTTTTCTTTGATTGCCCTGAAGAAGAGATGGTGAAACGGGTGCTGAGCCGTAATCAGGTTCTCATTGAATTCTTGGAGATTTAATTACAGCTTCTGATAAAAACTTCTGTATGATATATGCTACACGTTTTATTGCAGGGTCGAATTGATGATAACATAGATACAATCAAGAAACGTCTTAAAGTATTTGAGGCACTAAATCTTCCTGTGATTGATTATTATGCTAAGAAAGGGAAACTTTATAGGGTAATTACATTTAGTTTCAATTTCAATTTAATTTGGGTAACTGGCCTTCTTTAGAGAATTAAATGTTGACAACTTCCAAAAGCTGCAATTATTTTTGTTTACCTTGGTTAGAGATTTTTTATTTACTTACCTTCAAAATGTAATGCTACTAATTCTACCAAGTGGCAAAATTCACAAGCTAGTCTTTGTGGTTTGGACGTTAAAATGCCTTGGGATTCAATTGTATGTTCATTGTACTCAATATGTAGATGTGATATATATGCAATGAAATTATTTTAAATAAAATTCAGCTTCTGGTAAAGGTAATTTATGCCTCTTTAGTGTTTAATCCTGTAAGCTACATGAATTATATCTTAATTATATGACAAGTTAATTTCTGCAGATCAATGCAGTGGGAACAGTAGATGAAATATTTGAGCAAGTTCGTCCAGTTTTTGAGGCATGTGAGGTATATATGTATTTCTTGTTATTTCTATAACGTTAGTTACAAATGCTTGAGGCACGATGCTCCATACACAATCAATTGCCTCTTTGTGGTCATGCTTACTGACAGTTCTTAATTGGTAACTGGATTTGATGCCATTTACTAGGTGCATAAATGGCCACAGCCGTTGACACGTGTTTTATTAACCATGAATCTAGTTGATTGAGTTTTAACATTTTAAGTGGGTGAGAAAATGAAACTGCGAAACACTGAATTTGTTGGGTAGATGTAATTCTGAATTTTATGTCCAATGCCCTGGCTTTCCTCCCTCTCTTTATGTGGATTAAAATAATATATTGTGTTATTTAATATCTCTAATGACTTGCATCCTTCCATGCAGCACGATGCTAAGTGAAAGCTTTTTGAATGGGTTGCGAGCATTGTAAAGTTGGCTGAAGTTTGGATTTAGTGGGGACACGATTTATTTCCCAGATGATTATACAAGATCTGATCCAAATTCCTGGCTGTTTTTCTTTGGAATTTGGTATTTCTCTAAAACTCATCCACCGAAGTATTTCAAATTGAGATTTCCATGTCCAACATTCACGGGAGATGGCTCTCGTTTCCTTTTTACTTTCCAACTGATAATGCTCAGCTTGCAATAAACAGCTAATGCCCCCGAGAGAATGGCTAAAGGTGGACCTAAAACTGTCTCTAACAACAAAGGAAAAGGAATTTCTTATCATGCGCTGAATATAATATACGATTCAGTATATGTTTTATAATTTCTTTTACAATAAATTGAATTCTATGTCAGTCCAACCTTTTAGAGGTGTTGGACTTGTATTATCGCCACAGATTTTGCCAGCAAGTTGGTCTCTTGCTAACTGTGTTTCAAAGCATGTTTAAAACCCTATTAATCTGGATTCAACATAAAAATTATAATTAGTAGCGTTATACTTAACGTGAATCCTTCATTTTTATTGTCCATGAATTCCTCATCATTTTAACGTGAAACTAAAACACACATTAAGCCAATAAGACACAATGGGAGAGATGAACACTTTGAGGTGCTGGGCTTGCTTTAGACTTTTATTTATTTCCCATTTCTCGTTATCAGCTTGTCACACCTTCCAACATCGGTGCGACATGGAATGGAGAGCAGGCAAAACTTGGGAGATTAGATTCTTCCATTCGGCGACTTGATGAGGTCGTTGCTGCATGGAAAGCCTTTCTTTCAATCTTGCCAGCAAGCATTCATCGAATTGGAGATCTTGTTGCCCAATATAGTCTTACCCATGACGAGATTATTTTTTACATTTTGTTTAGACTTAAATTCATTTTTGGCTTTCCAGTTATGCAATTTGTGTCCTCTTATTTTCAATTATGTCGTTTTGATCCTTTCCGTTACATTTGCATTTGAAGTTTAACACGATACAATTATGTTAGTAACCTTAAGTTGAGCTAACAAGTAATATGTATACTTTTCAAATATAATTAAACTAAAGAAATGAGAGAATGTATTTTTTTCAACTAATCGAAATTCTAATAGAAGTAAACAAGACAGAAATACAACTTCTGTGTATTGCATGTGACCTTTCTTTACACTAGTAATTTAATTATAAAGAATTTATACAACTTGTTAACTCGTGTTAAGGTTATTGACATCATATTCAGTTAAATTTTAGACAAAGATGTAACAAAAAGGTTAAATTGTTGAATTTAAAACAATTTAAGAACTAAAATTGCACAATTGAAAATAAAATGAATAAAATCAGAGAGTTCGAAAAGCCGAAAGTGTAGTTAAGGTGTTTTTTAGTACAATGATGACATCTAAGGTTTGAATCAATGATTCCAAGTTAATTACTCAAGTCCCTTACCTCTAGTTCAATCATATTGGCAAATGTCAAAATTTGACAGGCTCATACGGACAAACATTTGTTAAAAATACAAGACGGGGAATCATAAATATTTAGTTAAATTGAACAATACTTAGTAAAAAATGTATATATATCCAAATGCCTCAGTTCCTGTCCAAGAAATTAGAATGATAGCCACGCTAAACTTCCCTCCAAATCGTATGAGTTTGTGCTCCGGAAAGAAGAGCACCAACAAAAACAAAAGTAGGAAACATAGTCGGTGGGGAACCAAAGAAAGAAGAAACGCTCTTTCTTTCCCAAAACCCAAATCAACCCCACTCCTCATCCGTCACCGACCTCGTACTCAAACAAAATTCGAAGCACTCGAACAAGTGGTCAAAGATCTTGAAGCCTCTGTCGAGAAGGGCATCAGAATTGACCCTGAAATCTATGCTTCTTTGTTGGAAACATGCTACCACTTGGAAGCCATTCATCACGGTATCCGAGTCCACCGCCTTATCCCATCATCGCTCTTGCATAGAAATGTCGGCATCTCCTCGAAGCTTCTGAGGTTGTATGCCTCGTGTGGGTATATGGACGAGGCCCACGACCTGTTTGATCAAATGGCTAAGAGGGACACATCTGCTTTTCCCTGGAATTCACTTATCTCAGGATATGCCCAAGTGGGCTTCTATGATGATGCCATTGCTCTCTACTTCCAGATGGTGGAAGAGGGTGTTGAACCTGACCTGTTCACCTTTCCCCGTGTTCTCAAAGCTTGTGCGGGAATTGGGTCTGTTCAAGTGGGGGAAGAGGTGCATCGCCATGTGGTTCGTTCTGGCTTTGCCAATGATGGGTTTGTTCTCAATGCTCTTGTTGACATGTATTCTAAGTGTGGTGACATTGTAAAGGCTCGAAAGATCTTCAACAAGATGCCTCATAGAGACTCCGTTTCATGGAATTCAATGCTTGTAGCTTATGTTCATCACGGCCTAGAGGTCGAGACAATGAACATTTTCCGCTTCATGCATTTGGCCGGGTATAAACCTGACTCTATTACCATATCCACCATTCTTACAGGTGTGTCATCACTGTATCTTGGGGTTCAAATTCATGGATGGGTAATCCGGCAGGGACTTGAATGGAACTTGTCCATTGCTAATTCCTTAATCATGATGTACTCCAATCATGGCAGGTTGGATAAGGCATGTTGGATATTCAATCTAATGCCAGAGAGGGATGTTGTTTCGTGGAATTCGATAATATCTGCTTATTGCAAACACCGGGAAGCCCTTGCTTATTTTGAGCGAATGAAGGAAGCTGGTGTGGAGCCTGATAAAATAACATTTGTTTCATTGTTGTCAGCTTGTGCCTATTCAGGTTTGGTGAAGGATGGAGAGAGATTGTTTGCTTTGATGTGTGAAAAATATGAAATAAAACCAATTATGGAACATTATGGTTGTATGGTTAACCTTTATGGAAGAGCTGGACTGATTAAAAAGGCTTATAGCATCATAGTCGAGGGAATGGATTCTGAGGTTGCTGGTCCAACTCTGTGGGGTGCCTTGTTGTATGCATGCTCTTTGCATGGAGATGTAGCTATAGGGGAGATTGCTGCAAGCAAGCTTTTTGATTTAGAGCCTGACAATGAACAAAATTTTGTACTTCTTATGAGGATCTATGAAAATGCAGGCAGATTGGATGACATGGAGAGAGTTAGAATGATGCTGGTTGACAGAGGATTGGATTATTAGACAGCTATACATCCAAAGACTTGCCACACAAGGGAACCAGATATGCTTGATGCATGATTCATTCAGTTTCCAGTTTGTACCACAAATGTGGTTACCATATGGATTCTTTGACGTACAGCATCAGCACATAGCTTCGGAAAATATTTTTTTCACGAAATCTATCTTCACATTACATGCAACTACTACGTTCGGTACTTTGCCGGCTAGAACAGGAGATTAAAAAGAAGAGTCCTTTCATTCATAGCGGCTGATTTTGTATTGTCTGTGAAATTAATGATTTCCAACACCTCAAATACAAAATTATTTGACATTTTCTGTTATTGAGTCAAGGAATTACTTAAGACATGCTTAAACGTAACATCAAACAAAACTGTGTTGAATGTTGATAAACTAACACTTCATCCAATAAAACTGATTCTTGCAGCAACCTGCACATGCAGCAGCCAGTGTGATGTTTGTTAGAAGGGGTGAGATAGGAGATGTACATAGTGATATTTTATCAGGCTCTGCACCACCTTTCTTGTGATGAAAATGGAGATCCTAAATTCATGGCCAAGTTGTATTATAGTTAATTGGAAGTTGTCAAATAATAAAAAAATGTAACTGAAGTCTGAAAAGGCGCATGTGGCCGCAAAGTTTCACACGCCCTTCCCTCAACTCGTCCGTACGCCAAATAAATAGTCCTACTCGCATTTAAGCAACTTATTGCTTTTTCTCTATGTACAACTATACCGTGATCAATTTCTTTCTTTTTTTATTCTTTGTTTTGAAGCCAAGTACCTTTTACCCCTTTTCTATTGTAAGACTTAAGAAAGTATTCAAACGGGGCAGCACAAAACGGTTGGAGTAATGTGGGGACTAAAGCAAACATCGATTTTGTCAACTTCTTATATGCACTTATGGCTTATTTTAGAGCCAAATAAACACAGATTTCGGTGTGTTACAGGGTTTCTTTTGGATTTTGATGCTGCGTAAGGCTGAAGGGATTGTGGCAAGACTTCGAATTTCTTGCCTAATGTCATTTGTCTCCTCCTATTTATTTCATTAATAGAAGTGCAGAATGGGGCTTTCGTAATCAAATAATGGAAAATGATTGTTATACATTGCATTGATGTATACATAGTGAGAGATAGGAAGAGAAAATAGAGACATAAAAGATATGACGTGTAATGTGATAGAAGAGAGTTAAAGAGAAAAATAAGGTCGGAAAGAGTTGGATGACTATAGTAAATAAAAATAAAAACTCTAAGCAATTGTCTAATCAGATTTTGAAGCAATAAGCTCTAATGTGAAACCTAAAATGGCAACGAAATCAAAGAAGGGAATAAAAAGTGTGCAGATTATGCACTGGATGATTCCTGTTCATATTTCATAATCAACTCTATAAATCGTGCAAGATGGGATGGAACATGCCACGTGCTTATTTCTTAGTACTGACTAAATACACATGCTTTCGTGTCGATAAAGGAAATCAAGATGGCGTTGCGTCTACTATAACATCAAAGCTTAGAGAACATTGGGTGAGCACATGATTAAGAAACTCCCACTTTAAGCCACTAGGGTGCATGGAACATTGAAATATGTAACTGCCGGGCACCGGAATCAAGAAAAGAACCAAAATGACAATCATGGGAAAGATATTGTTGACACTGTTATTATTGTCATCAATTTTCTCAATAGCTTCATCAAGAACAAGAAGATCTTCCAGCAACAACATAGATTGGTGGTGCAACCAAACCCCACACCCCGAGCCATGCAAATATTACATGAAACAAAGCCACTACCATCACACGCTTAAACACAAATCCGAATTCCGTGCATATCTAATTCACTTGGCCTTGGAGAGAGCACTCGTCATGCAAAATCAAGCACGTGATTTCGGGCAAAAACGCGTCACCAAGAAGCAGAAACATGTATACCGCGATTGTTTGAAGCTGTATGAGAACACTGTGTTTCATCTAAATCGTACCCTCCAAGGCCTACACGTTAAGAGGAGCTGTTCCCCGTTTGATGCACAAACGTGGCTTAGCACTGCTCGCACAAACCTCGAAACCTGTCTAAACGGAGCGTTAGAACTTGGCGTTCGAGATTTCATCGCTTCAACTTGCACTGAGAGAAGCAACGTGACGGAGATCATAAGCAATAGCTTATTCGTGAACTGGGCTTTCCTGAAACACGAAACGTTTCATTACACAGAAGATAGGGAAGGTGAGTTTCCGAGTTGGTTTTCTGTTCATGAGAGGAAGCTCTTGCAGTCTTCTTCAATAAGGGCACATCTTGTGGTAGCCAAAGATGGTTCTGGCCATTTCAAAAGTGTTCAAGCTGCTATTAATGCGGCATCGAGAAGAAGGTTGAAGACGAGGTTCATTATCCACGTAAAGAGAGGAGTTTATAGGGAGAACATTGAAGTTGACAAGACCAACGACAATATCATGTTGGTTGGTGATGGCATGAGATATACCATAATAACAAGTGCCAGGAGCGTTCAAGATGGCTTTACCACCTACAGTTCCGCTACAGCAGGTACCGGTTTTTGAGGCTTTTCTTATTGGAATATTTAAGGATTCTTTCTTTTTTCTGTCATTTATTTGTTGAATTTGAGGCTTTTCTTATTGGAATATTTAAGGATTCTATTAAAAAGAGGTAAACGAATAATGCTGTGCTTTTGTAACTTTTTTACGAAAAAGAATACGTTGAATTTGTATATAAGTAAACGATGCCTTTGGTATATATTGCATAAATGTATAGTGAATCAGTGATGCGTGTAAGTTTTGGTATATATTGCATAGATTGATTCCCTAAGGTCTAAGAATTAGTTGAATAGTGGTAAATTTCTTCCCATGAAAGAAATAATCTGATGAATTGAAAAATTTCAGGAATCGATGGTCTTCACTTCATTGCACGTGACATTACCTTCAGAAACACGGCCGGTTCTCTTAAGGGTCAAGCAGTGGCACTTCGATCAGCCTCTGACCTCTCCGTTTTTTACCGTTGTGCCATCGAGGGCTACCAAGACACACTCATGGTTCATGCACAGCGACAATTTTACAGAGGATGTTACATCTATGGCACCGTTGACTTCATCTTTGGTAACGCAGCTGTTGTTTTTCAAAACTGTGTGATTCTCGTTAGAAGGCCTTTGAATGGCCAAGCAAACATGATCACGGCCCAAGGTAGAGATGACCCATTTCAAAACACTGGAATTTCAATCCACAATTCTCAAATAAGGGCTGCCCCAGATCTCAAGCCCGTTGTTGCCAACTTCAACACCTTTTTGGGCCGCCCATGGCAACGTTACTCAAGAGTTGTGGTCATGAAATCGTTCTTGGATAGCTTGGTGAGCCCAATGGGCTGGTCTCCTTGGGGGGATACTTCTTTTGCTCTCAACACGCTCTATTATGGAGAGTATAAGAACTTTGGGCCTGGTTCATCCACAAGAAACAGGGTCCGTTGGGCCGGTTTTCATTCTATAACCAGCCCAGCCGAGGCCTCACAGTTCACCGTTGGTACCCTCCTTGCTGGACGCACATGGTTGCCTGCAACTGGTGTGCCTTTCACTTCGGGCCTTTAATCACTGTCTTATATGCTACGCTCAATGAAGTTGATGATATTCAATTGGTTGGAATTAAGTTATATTGTTGTTTGTGTCTACAAACACCACAATATTCTTTTGTACATTTTTCCAAGAGAAAAAAAATAATAAATTATCAGTCTATCCTTTTACTCATTGTTGATCTAAAGGGTACATTTCATTTGCTTGAATTCTAAAGCACCATCCACACAAGATATGTCAGAAAAGCTTATTAATGAAAAAATATAAAGATAACTGAAAATGGTTCAAGCTTTAAAACTGATTACTTAATTGATTGTTCTCATGATTAGCCATATATTATGCCAATGAACATAATTTTGTACTTCTTATGAGGATTTATGAAAATATAGGCAGATGATCACAGGGGACATGGAGAGAGTATAGAAATAGAACGATGCAGGTTGACAGAGGATTGGATTATTAGACAGCTATACATTCAAAGAATTAACACCACACGTACAAACCACGCGTGTCTTTTGCTGAGTCACCAAATATGCTTGATGCATGATCCATTCAATTTTCAGTTTGTCCCACAAATGTGATTACCAAAAGAATTCTTTGATGTAGAGCACCAGCACATAACTTGCTAGATCAATTTCAAACTTCGGCATTGTCTTCCTTCATCTCATGTAGCATTTACACACATGAATTTTTTCCTTAAAATATGCAGGGTCTTTAAAACTTGTCCTTTACATTCAAATTTTTAAATGGTAATCCTTAAAATTAAAACTTTTTAATTATTTTAGTTATTATCGTTATAATAACAAAATAATAATCTGTCACATTAAAATCTTCTAAATCTACAACTTTTTTCATCCCTTACTCTCCCTCAAATTTTTGGTTTCGCTTGCGTTCAAAGACCAATTGGTATCATTGCTGTTGAATAGCTCCCGCCTAGAGTCAATGTCCATGGCCATCAAAAAAATTAAAAGTGCTATAAGCAACAAAAGCTTAGACAAAGAAGCAGCAATGCATGTCACTCTAAATGATGTTGTGGCTAAAGACAAATAAGTGTGGATGTAGTGTTGTAGTGAAGAAGGAAAAGGTTTAGTTGGTAACAAATCTAGATCTTGGGAGATTAAGGAGACAAATAAGTGTCCAAGGAAGATAAACAAGCATATAAAGAAGAAGAAAAGAAGTGAAAAGAATGTTAAAAGCTTAAAAATTTCAACTTAAAGATAAAAATGATTTTTTTAGAGATCATAAAATAATATTATTTTGTATTGACAGTGAACTTCAACCTATTATGTAACATAACAAATAATCTTTTATTATCATATTTTATCATTATTTTACAAGAAGATCAACAATAACTAAAATGATTGACAACTTTTAATCTTGGAGACTAACATTTAAATATTTTAAATAAAAAACTAATTTGAACATCATTACATATTTTAGAGATTAAAGCCATGATTTATTAAAAAAAACTTCAATAAGTTTTCCTATGAAATTTACTTAGACAAACTAAAAAAGCTCTATAATAATAATAATAAAATAGTCTCTTTTAAATACTTCCTATATTATGCATTAACTCTTATGAATGCACTAAAATGTTATCTAATGGCTCTTTATTTTTTTAAGTATGTCTATCCTGTGGCAAAAATATATTGGGCTCTACAACCATTAATTTATTACGATATTCTTGCAATCTATACATTATGTCTTTATTCGAATAGAAAGAAGTACGGAGTAGAAAATCTAAAGAGTCAAAGAAGGCTTGTTAAAGCAATTTCACTGGTTGGATTAAAAAATTAAGGGGAAAAAATGATGTATAACTCATGTTAAAATATTTTCTCGTTGACTGTATACAGGGGAATTTCTTTTTTTTATTATTTTCTCTTCTGTACCCGAACAACTTCAAAGAGTCACTTAGTACCACATGTTTCCTCCAATTGCAGATGAGGCTATCCCCGCTTTATATTAGTTTAATTGCTTCCTTCTATAGAATAATAAGATCAGCCATTAGTTTATTAAGTAATTACTTAAGTGCATGCACCAAAATGCGTATTAAGCGAGTGCATGAGATGTGAAAATAGTTAATATGTAAGCACAATTTAATTTACAATACCCTTAGTATATATAGCCTACGGAACAACGAGCACAAGCACAAGTAAATCCCTATAAGGGAAAAATTACGTACAGTTGTCACATATATAAAAGAAACATTGAAAGAGTATCCTTCACTTAATTAGTAGTAAAGCCTGTTGACAAAAGCCAAGGCATTGCTATTCATCCAAGCAACATTAGCAACACTAGGTTTGATCTTCTTCTGAAGTGAAGGACGCACTTTCATTTCATCAAACTCATCGGTGCATGTAGACTCATCCGTTATGGCAGCACTCATCCATGTCTTAATGGTATCCCATTGAAATTTCTCATCACTAGTAGTGGTACCATTCAAATGAGCCAAGCCATCAACAGATTGCTTAAGTAGATCCAACGTTTCATCGATATTCTCTCTGCAATCTGCAATGACCGACGTTTCACCACGTGTTAGCTTCCCTGTGGAATTGGATAGCTTTTTCAATGTGCTATATGCACTTTTGGCTGCTTTTAGAGCCACATTAACGGACAGTTTGGTGAGTGTTAAAGGGTTATTTTTTACTTTTGATGCGTAAGGGGAGAGAGACTTGTAGCAAACATCAGGGTAAGTGGTTGAATTGCACTCATCTTTTATGAACATTTTGTAGGCTTTGAGGGAATTGGTGGTGGTTGAGGAGCTGGATGTGGATGCTGCATGGATAAGGGTTGAGATGAACAGAAGGGTTAGAAGTATTCTTAAGAGATTATGGGAAGACATTGAACTTCCAACTTGGTTTTGCAATGCCATTTGTCTTTTTTCTATTGCATTGGTTGAAGTGCACAACGGGGCTTTTATAAGCGAAAAAAAAATGTCTAGCCTGTATTTGAAGTAGTAAGCGATAATGTGAAAGCTTAAATGGCAAAGAAATCGGCGAGGGAAATAAAAAATGGTGAGCATATATTAGATAAATCAACTCTGTTCATAAGCAACTCTCTAAACCGTGCAAGATGGAATGGCACATGCACATGCCACATGCCTATTTCGTAGTACTGTCTAAATACACATGGTTTCGTATCGATAAATTAAATCAAGATCGCGTCTCGTCGACTATATAACATCGAAGATTAAGGGAAAAATGAGTCAGCACGTGATTTAAAAATTGACTTTTGAAACAATAATAAGCTAACGCAATTTCGAATGCATTACACTATATAAATTAGACGTTGATAGAGTTGGATTGAATTAAAAATAAACTTGTCCGAATAATTAAGTTAGATTTGCATCAGTCAACAAATTAATTTAACTTGAGATGAATTTAATCAAACTCAGATTATAGGATCATAATTCTCTCTCTTTACCCTCTAACCAGACAATATCACGTTGTGCAAAATTTTAAAATGCTTCGTCTCTTAATTGAAACTCAATGTTTCATTTGTTTCTCATTTTCTCTTGATGGGTCAAAACAGTCATTTCCATTTTGCGCTTTAGTCATTGCACCAGCAGGAAAGATTTGTATTAAGAATTTTTTTAAAAAAATCATTCTCTGTCTTACCGATTGTAGCCTTTTAAATTTACATACAATGAGAAAATGTTAGAAATATAATAATGGTTTAACTCATGACTAACAAGCTGAACAAATAACAGTTACACTAAATAAGATAATTAATTCTGTTTAACTTCCCCTCTCAAACTAGTGGTACTTTAATTATAGTTTGTCTTTCAATTAAGTGAACTTAGTATAAGTCAAAGTTTGGTCAAGTCATCAACTATTTGATCAGAACTAGGAACACATGTTATTATAATTTTATTACTTCTTGATCTCTAATGTAGTGAATATTAAACTTCTATGTGTCTGGACCTTGAATGATATATTGGATTTGATGTTAAATCTTTAGCATTGAGATTATCACAGTGTAAGACTGGTGCTGTTGGAACTGTAATTTTAAGTGCATGTAACAAAGATCTAATCTATGCCACTTCAGCTGCAAGCTCCGTAAGCAACCTATACTTATATTCAATACTCGATCTAGATACAACTATCTATTTCTTTGAAGACCAACTTATCAAGCTTTCTCCAAGAAACACACATTGTCGTGCAGTTGATTTTCTTCATCTACATTTGTGATCCAGTCTGCATTTGAAAAGCCTAAAACATTGAAATTTGCAGAAGATTTAATATGAAGACACTACTCCATAGTTCCTTTTAGATACCTAAGAATATGTTTACCATATTGCCAATGAAGATTTGTCGGTGCTTGCATATACTAACTGAGTTTACTGAGGATATATCTAGTCTTGTATTTGTTAGATACTGTAATGCTTTAATTAATCTCCTAAAGCTTGTGAGATTTTTCATTTACATATCAATAGATCTGCTTACTATATATGTCACTAAATCATATGATTAAAAAAGGACAATAGATAAAATTCAATTTTAGTTTCTCTAATTTGATTTCAATTACACTTTTAACTATTTTCTTAATTTATAGTTCTTATATATTTTTCATGCATTTCATTAGTTAACTCATCTGTATGTGTATAATTTATTTATTTATACAAATAAAAAAATTATTAAAAAAATTATGATTATTAAAAACTCAACCGGATCTACTCTTTCTTTGACGAATTTGAGGAGTTCTATTGAGTTTTTACGTTTTCATTTTGAAGACTCATATAATACGATTACTACAGGGATAAGTCCAATCCAGAGTATGAACCATAAAAAAAATACTAATTAAACTTATGTGTACTTACATTACTTTTGTCTCATGCAAAATATTAATATTAAAAAAGTAATTAATTATATTCTTTTTTATTAATTGCTGACTTTATTAACCAAAATATTTTTTTATATTTCTCTCTTTAATTAGCAAACAAATAATTTACTAATTCATTAAGTAAAATAAAAAATAAATTACCATGTTAAGTGTAGGGATTTGTAACAGTATTGTGTAGCGTCTCTACCTTTATATATTTTAAATTGTTAAGATCTTATACCAACATTACCTTAGGTCTCATGCATTATCAATGTACTTAATGATATTTTATTTTATTTTTTCTTTTTCAGATTTCTAAATTTGATAAATAAAATAACAAAACATTTGATTACTTAATTTTATTTTTTTATTTTATTATACAAATCTCTGCAACATCGATGTGTAATTTACGTTATCTTCGATTATCCAATAAATTATAAGGAATTTACGTATAACTTACGTTATCTTAAATTCTTTTTCAATATGAATATTCAAATTTAAATATAAATTCAAACTTTTTCATTTGCAAATAAAAATATTTTTTATTATTTAAATTATTTTTAACAATTTACAGTATAGTTGTGTGATCTTTCTTCGCTTTTTATATTGTTTATCATAAGATGCATGCATAATTGCATTATCTTGTATCCTAAATATTATAATATTATAAAAATAATTTTAATCTCAAAATAAAATTATTTTACTAAATTTAATTTTAATCAACCAACTTCAGAATTTATGTGATATAACTATAAGACTTTGAGTTTCTCATTGCACATGAAGATACATAGGAGTGAAAATCAGATCAGTCGAGTCAAAATAATTTTTAAAATAATTTTTCTCTTTCAGAATATACTAATTAATATTTCAATAAATAAATTTTCTTCCTTTAAAAATAAAATAGCAACACTTATCGTTTAGGTCCACAAGTTGTTTTTCTTGGATTTTTCGGTGTCAGTATTTGAAATTTCTTGGTTCATTGTATTCCTAATTCAGAGAGGAGTTTATCAAAATTCTTTCAGCCAAAATGGCCAAGAGCTAGTATTTTTAAAAATTCAGAAACAACCATGCACTTATTGTAGAAAATAAAAAAACTTCATATTTTTAAAATTAAGTGTAACGGATTCAAACAAAGTCCAAATCACAATTCGTAAATTTTGTTAGAAAGCTAAGTTCCTAAGGATCAAAATTAGCTTTTAAAAATTTAGTTTTAATGCACAGGAAAGTGCAGAAAAATCAAACATTAGTGTTGTTCATGTAGGTTTATCAACTTTGCACCATTTTTGTAATTCATCTCATAAAGTATTAAAACAAAGTCCAAAATTAACATAAAAATATACGTTAGAAAGCTATTTTCATATAGTTTATGAAAATAAAATTTTTAGGTTAAAACAACTCTGTACAAAGGGCGTAAAAAGTATTTCTTTATACTGTTTCTGCAAAAATAAAACGTAAAAACAAAGGTGCTCATGTATTTCATGCGTTTGAAAGGGCAAATGATGTTGGATTTAAGCTCAAGATATGTCGTTGAAAAGATAATTTTATTAATTATGTAACTCGGCTGAAGACAGGAAGAATGTGCTGGAGGGTGGCTCAATTTTGATAGTATAGGGACAAGAATGCAGAAAGAAAATAATCGCCTTGATGCAGTCTCAGTAATTTCTTAGTGAAAAGTTTGGTAGCTTGAATTATGGTGATGAGATGGACGTGCATTGAATAAAGGAAGCTAAGAGCTTTCAAATCATGAAACTAAATGTAGAGTGACAGGAAGATGTATGTTTATGTATTTTGAGGACTTTAATGGAAGATATTAGTGGAGGGATGCATGAAGAGTTGTTAACTATTATGATAAGGGGTTTTGGAAGTTTTGGTTCATAAAAGTTGGGCAGCCCTTTGTGATACCTTTCTTTTTGTAGAATTAAGGTGCAACAAGGAATTCCTTCTGGACTAATTTTGTAAGTAATCGAATAGAATAAGGTTCCAATTGAATGAAGGGGATGCAGTCAGGTATTGCTTATAAGTGGAAGAAGGTAGTTATAAATTTTAATTTGGTCATACAGTATAATAAAATGCGTATATATGTGATTAGATATCCAAACTAACACCATAAAAATGAAGATGACAAGGAAAATAACTAATTAGATAAAAATTATAATATTTTGAGCAGAAATAACCAAGCACATATATTAAAAGACGCTGGTTAATTCAGGGTAATAATAATAATAATAACAATAATAATATTAAAAATTTGAATTTTTTCTAGAGGAGTCAAGATAGAAATTTTGGGGTAATAAAAATTTTCTCACGCATCTCTTAGATAGAGTTTAAATCAACACATGTACTAAAAGATATTTGCTGAATTAAAATATGAATTTTTAATTTTTTTAAAATTGTAATAAATAAATAAAAATTCTAATAAGTCTTTAAATACTTCCTATATACTTAGAAAGATCAAGCTCATAAAACTAAGGGTTCATAGATACCACTAATTTGTAACACCCCTAAACATGGACTTTAATAGTTTATTTGAGCGCCTCACACCTCCATACGAGGTACATATAATATCTTTAAGTTTGCTTAGATAGGTAAACTACATGCAGTGGATAAGAGAGTTAACATGCAAAACGTATTTTTATTTTATAAAACATCTCGACATTTCTGCATAATCATTTAATACGAAGTAGTATTTTGGTATGTAAAAATCGATTACTGGGTAAGTGCACCCATTATCAGAGTAATATTGCAAAAAATAGAGTATCAAGTGTCATATCCACACTAAGAATTACTTCTTTGATTAACCAATTGTTAATGAATATAAGCAAGAGATTATGTTGATAAAATTGCTGAACTAAGAAAATAACAAATTAAAAGGAACAAATTTCTATGAAAATAAAACTTAGAAAAGTATGACTAAGTGTATTCAAGAGAAATAAGTGAGTATCTAAATTGTAAATCCTCCTAAATGTCCAAATAACTAGAATTATCCTTCAACTACTTAGTTTTACTCCCTTGTTGCTGCAGGAATTCCTGAAATAAACCGCTACCTTTCTC